TTCTCATTATATCACTGAATCCTGATCTGTTTCAGGTTTGTAGGGGCTGTCATTCATTCTTTGCACTGTGGAATTATGGGTACAAAGTGTAGTTTCTAGCGCCCTGCTGCTCTGTGCTGCCTCATGACACAGACACAGCACGCTCAGCTGTGCTGCAACGCCTCGAGGAGCAACAACTACTGTGTGTGTGTGTGTGTGTGTGTTTACTGGAGGAAAACTTACTAGTCCAGCTTGCAGTGCAGGCAATCTGTTCAGGGTTGGACTGGCTTAAAGGGACAGTTCACCAAAAACTTCAAATTGCGTCATCATTTACTTTTCGTCTTTCTGTTCAAAGTCTAGTTGTGTTTTTCTTCCAGTGAACACAAGATATTTTGAAAAATGCTGGAAACCTGCAAGCACAAAAGAAGATATTTTGATTTAAACAGGCAACCAGCCAAAAACTGGATCTCTGCTTCATTTGAGTCTGTCTCTGTGCTGTTTATCTGACACATGGTGCAGTAGAAGCAGACGCTGCATGTCGGAATGGCGAGTGGGGAGAAGCAGCTCTTTTGCATTTAAAGGCACAGACAAAAACAGCTAGTTTCCTCTGACCCCAATATTGACATTTTCAGCAGGATATATTAAATGATCTGATAGGTATTTTGAGCTGAAACTTTACAGACATATTCGAGAGCAGGGGTGGGCAAACTTGGTCCTGGATTGCCGGTGTCCTGCACAGTTTAGCTCCAACACTAATCAAACACACCTGAACAAGCTAATCAGTGTCTTCAAGATCACTAGAAATCTAGAAGCAGATGTGTTTGATTAGAGTTGGAGCTAAACTGTGCAGGACACCGGCCCTCCAGGACCGAGTTTGTCCACAATGTTCTAGAGCAGGGGTTCCCAAACTTTTCAGCTCTCGACCCCCAAAATAACAATGCCAGTAACTTGCGACCCCCAATATCCTCTGAGGTGGTTATAAATACAGAAACCTTGCATGCAATGGGGCGCACACACACCAATAAACCCAAGTCTATTCTTCGTTATATTTTTTTAATGTATGTCAGTGCTGTAAATGTGCCAGAAAGTTTAACCTGGTATTATAAAATCAATCTGCTGCATCTGACACTATTGCTGAGTCTTTAATATAATGTAATTACGTGAGGGGTCGCAATCCAATAGAACTAGTAACTATAAGCTACTATAGTAACTATATACAGTAGTGTATTTAGTAACTGTAAACGACAATTTTTTTAGTAGGTTATGGATTAAAATGGTAATTCTTATGGTTTAATAAAAATAAATAGATTTTTGGAAATCACCAGGCGACCCCCCCTTCATTGTCCCGCGACCCCTCGGTGGGTCCCGACCCCCACTTTGAGAACCACTGTTCTAGAGACAACTAAGACTTATTTTACATCTCAAACAATAGGGGCCAATTAGAAGCCCATTAAGGTAGCATTACAAAAATGAAACATCCTCTCTCCACCGCATCCCTCCAAGCTCTTCAGGTACGTCGCGTCCAACTCCCCCTCCGCTCTTCAGATGTGTCGTGCGCATACTCAAACCTTCCTATTCAGCTACGTCACACGCAACCCCCCCCCCCACCTCCTTCAAACCTCGGACAAATCATCTCTCTTTCCCCCGGAAATTACTTTTCCCAACTTGGGATGTCTGTCAACACAAAACAAAAGTATCCATTTGGAGATCCTTTACAGGACTCAACACTTGTAAGCAATCGCTCCATCGGGCTCACGGCTCTCTGCACCGCCCACACTTGCCACCACTACCAAACCAACCAATCTCAGAGTTTCTGCTACATGGTGTTGCAAAGTGTAGTTACGTTTTTAGAGAGGTGTGTATCAGCGTCAGCTTCAGCCATGGCGGGTGCTATGCAACTGTGCCGGAGCTTATGCATGCTCTTGACGCAGAAGTATAAATCAGCCTCAAGTCTCTATTTCAGAGATTGCAACAGCGAAGTGAACCGCCAACTGTTCCAGTTTTACGAAGCGGATGCCCTTCCAGTTGCAACCCAGTATTGGGAAACACCCATACACTTTCATTCACACTCATACACTACAGACAATTTAGTTAATTCAATTCACCTATTAAATTGTGGGAGCCCCATCGCAAATATGTCCAAACTCTTCAGCTTGACCCTGCTCCTTCTGATTGAGTCCCCACCCCCTAATGCCCAGCTTTTACAGGAAACTATCTCTGGTCAACACATTGTAGACTTGTTTTTCTGTATATAAGATTGCACTAGTGTTGTTGTTTTTTATTTATTTATTTATTTTCATTATTTTATTATTATCTATTATTATTTATTTATTTTTATTATTATTATTTGCTCAAAATACTCTTCAGTGTATTTGCTTATTGTTACATGTTTATGTCTTTGTAAATTTTTGTAATGTTTCACAATGTATAAATAAAACAAAGAAAAATAATAAAAAATTCCAATTCACCTATGGCGCATGTCCTTGGACTGTGGGGGAAACTGAAGCACCCGGAGGAAACTCACACACCAACATGGGGAGAACATGCAAACTCCACAACGGAAATGCCAACTGGTCCAGCTGGGACCTGAAGCAGCGACCTTCTTGCTATAAGGCGACATTACTACTAACCACTGAGCCATCATGCCACCTATATCATATTATATATCTTTTTGTTTTGAATGCCATGTCAGCAACAGGATATTTTCATGACAAAAACATTTCATAAATAAACATACAATTAAACATAACAAACAAATAAATACATAAATTGGATAACATTTTAATACAGTAATACATGATAAACATTCTCACATTTTTCCTGGCGACACTTTGCTGAATATCTCCTTAAGCGGGTTCATTTCATGTAGTCTTGTGCAATCATTAAAAGCAGGACAGTCCAGGAGAATGCATTTCACTGTAAGAGTAATTGTGCAGAACAAATATTGTAGGTCCAATATGACATCTGGTTACAAAAAAACTTCAAATCTAATCCTAAAATATATTAAAAATCTAATTTGGAAAGGGTTTATTAACAGTGTTTCCCAACCTTGTTCCTGGAGGCACACCAACAGTACATATTTTGGATGTCTCCCTTATCTAACCCATTCATTTGAAGTTTTGGAGTCACTTCTAATGTCCTGAGTTGATTCAGGTGTGTGATGAGGGAGGGGTTGAAAATATATTGACCTTATTCTAAAATGCGGAAGTGCGCCTGTTTTCGCGATTGTTTTAGAACTTCTGATTCAGTCGCCAATGGGAGAAATGACTAGGAATAATAAACGGCAGAAAACGGTCAAACTAGTTGCTCTACAAACAAAAGTTTGCATGACTATACAGACCAAGTAGAATAATATAAGAAAAAAATATCAGTTTGCCACATCAAACAGTGTAACGAGCAGTATTTAATGTCTAAAAATGAATGGAAGTAAATGAAGAATATTCGTCTGCGAAGAATAAGGTAAATACTGTCGATGTGCCTTCAGGAACAGAATTGGGAAACACTATTAAAAGACTGACATCAGGACACACAGACACACACATACACACATAGGTCTGGGTTTGAATATTCGGCCTCGTTCCAAGCCCCTAGTCCACAGAGCAGGACAGCAGGGTCGATCACAAGCCAGTTTCTTTCTGCCCACTTTTGGCACAACAGTGGCATCGAGGCCAGAGTTACGTCTCACAGGGCAAAACCAAGAGAAAATCACACAACTTCACAACACTTATGGGCAGCTTAAATGACTATTATTGGTGGCTCAGTGGTTAGTGGCTAGAAGCAAGAAGGTCACTGGTCCGAGTCCCAGCTGGGTCAGTTGGCATTTCTGTGTGGAGTTTGCATGTTCTCCCCGTGTTCGTGTGGGTTTCCTCGAGGTGCTCCAGTTTCCCCCACAGTCCAAAGAAATATGCTATAAGTTGCTATAACGCTATAATACGCTATAAGCTGTAGTGTTTGTTTGTGAAAGCAAGAGTGTATGGGTGTTTCCCAGTACTGGGCTGCAACCGCTGCATTAAACGTGCTGAATAAAATTGTGGTTCATTCCGCTGTGGCGACCCCTGATAAATAAAGCCGAAGGAAAATGAATAAATGTTATGTACTTCTCATCATTCATATTAATAATTTATGCTACTTGTTTTTATCTGGTGTTATTCATGTACTTTTAATTTCCTCTTTAATATCTACATTCCACAGATGCAATCTATTTTTCTTTAGTTTGACCTTTGAAATGTGTTGTATGTCTGGCTTTGAAGTTGTTCTAGCTCCTCTTTGCACTGTGCTTACTCTGCCGTTTTTGCTCAGGGGGTGTGAAAACCACAACGCTCCTATCTTCTCTAAATTTGTACCAATTGTGCTTCATGCTAGGTTATGTCAACATCACCCATGCATGAACCCTGACAAGATAGCTGGAGAAAACATCTGGTAACATTTAGTGATATCATGGATAAGTAAATAGACATTCACTGATCAGCATGAACATCTGCTGTTGCCATAGGAACATGGAAATTCTCCTGCATATATGCGCTTAAGTGTGACGTCCCTTAAAGCGGCTTCTGGGTCCAATCGCTCTATCAAACTGTATAGGGAGACTCAACAAATGGTAAAAATAAATGTTTACAAAGAGCTGCAATACTTACGAAAATCACGATCTCAATATATATATATATATATATATATATATATATATATATATATATATATATATATGCCTAACATCAGATGGCCAGAATGTGATCAATTTTATAAATTGGTCAAATATTGATGTCTGTGATGCAGCAAGTCCAGAGTCTGTTGTCTACACCATGATTTTATATAAAAATCACTTAAATGTGTGATATGACTAAAAAGGGGCCATAAACTAATATCCGAAATAGTATTTCATATGTCACGACTTAAGTGGATAACTCATGCCATCTTCTCTGGCAGCTCTTGCATTTCAGCACAAGGCCTTGGTCTTTTATTTTCAGATTTTAGAATACTTTCATTGTTATTCAGTTGTTTGATTACATTAAATACATAAAATAAAAGACTCGTTTGAAATATTACAACGTGTTATTGCAATTATTGATTTAGAATTTTTTTTAGCAAATAAAACTTTAAACATGTCTCATCAAAATTATTTTTACACGTTTTACAAAATTGCTCACAAATTATTCTGAATTATTTCATTACAGAAAATAAACAAGCTTAATAACAATAACAAATATAAACCAATTTCCCAGAGATGGGTTGCAGCTGAAAGGGCATCCACTATGTAAAACATATGCTGGATAATTTGGTGGTTCATTAATAAAAAGATTAAGCCGAAAACAAAATGAATGAAAAAAAAAAAGTAAACCTAATTAAAATGTCATTTTTTCTATAATTTTTACAAACTTTTCTGTCAAAATAATCTGAGCAAATTTGCAAAACTTGTCGAATCTCTGACTGGATCTCACGCCATTAAATATTTGACACCGTAGGCCTTGTTTTCATTCATTTTCCTTCGGCTTAGTCCATTTATTCATCAGGGCCACAGCGGAATACACCGCCAACTTATCCAGCATATGTTTTACACAGTGGAGGCCCTTCCAGCAGCAACCAACCATGAAACATCCATACACACTCTGTCTCACCCACCCACACTTTGGCCAATTTAGTTTATTTAATTCACCTACAGCACATGTTCTTGGATGGTGTTGGAAACCAAAGCACCCGGAGGAAACCCACGCCAACACGGGGAGAACATGCAAACACAGGAATGCCAACTGGCCTAGGCGGAACTCAAACCAGCGACCTTCTTGCTGTGAGGCGACAGTGCTGACCACTGAGCCACTGTGTCGTCCCTTTCTGAGACTCATTTGAAGCATTACAACATGTGTTATTGCAATAATTGATTTCTAATTTTTTAATTAAATAAAACTGAAACTTGTCACGTCACAAACTACAAAAACAATTGACAGGTTTTACAAAATTGTTTACAAATTATTCTGACAGAAACAAGATTTTTTTTTTCGATTACAGAAAAAAATAAACAATTTTATTAACGATAATAAACAAAAAAATTAAACCTAATTAAAATGCATTCTTTTCTGTTTGTTCATTCAATCATTCTCATCAGCTTTTCCGGGGCCAGGTTGCAGGGGCAGCAGTCTTAGAAGAGAACCCCAGACACTTCCTCCAGCTTCTCCAGGGGGATCCTGAGGCGTTCCAGAGCCAGCGGAGAGACTTTAGCTGCGTCCCAAATCGCATACTTATGCACTATTCTACGCCATTTTGTAGTATGAATAGTGTAAGTAGTGTGTTCACACTGAAAACTCTAAAAATCATAAGTGCACTTCAATTACCCGGATGATCCCCTCATTCAGCCGGTAAAATGAAGTGTGTAATGATGGACACTTCACGCACTCAACGACCGCAGGTTTGCTTAAGTAGTGGAAAGGGCGGAGCTATCGGGCACACATATTGGATAACTATTTATTTTGGATGGTGAAAGCAAAATTCTCCTACTAGAGTGATTATAGCGCCTCCTGATGGTGAATGCGGCAATACTCACGGCAGGTATTCTCTGATAATTCGGTTATTTCACTGATTTGGCGACCGTCAAACATCATCAGGGAAACAGTTTGAATTTCCGCTTAGTAAAAAAACATTAGTGTGCCATTTGGGACGACACTACATACATATACTATCCTGTTGAGTGTGTAAGTGCAAAAGTACATAGTGCATGAGTGCATAGTGTGCCATTTGGAACGCAGCTTTTGTCCCTCCAGCGTGTCCTGGGTCTTCCCAAAAGCCTCTTCCTAGTGGGTCATGCCTAGAACACCTCCCTAGGTAGGAGTCCTGGAAGCATCCGTAACAGATGCCCAAGCCACCTCAGCTGACTTCTCTCGATGTGGAGGAGCAGCGGCTCCACTCAGAGCTCCTTTCAGGTGACAGAGCTCCACACCCCATCTATAAGGGTGCACCCTGCCACCCAGCGAAGGAAACTCATTTCGGCTGCTTGTATCTGAGCAACCTTTTAAAACTCGTCTCAGTCAAAATAATATTTGGACTGTGAGGGAAAGCGGAGCACCCTGAGAAAACCCACACCAACACGGGGAGAACATGCAAACTACATAGAGAAAAGCCAACCGACCCAGCAACCTTCTTGCTGCTTGCTTCTTAAGACGACAGAACAAACCACTGAGCCACCGTGCAACCCCAAAGTAAAATAAGCAGTATTTAAACATTATTCAAGGCTAAATCATTATTATTATTATTATTAATTAATTAATTAATTTATTTGATTTCTCTAATCTTTTAAAATGTCTTAATCATTTAAGAGTTTGGAAGAAACACAGTTCACATCAGCTTAAACTTATCAAGGCAGCACATAATAACTATTATGTCCTTTAGTACTATACTACTCTACAAATGTACTTAAAATATTGCTGACAAAGTACATATTTACCTGAAAGTGGAATATCATGGTGGTTTCCTAAGAGAAAGTCCGTCATTCAGGGTCTGTGGTGAAGTTAAAAAAAAAGCATACAAGTTTAAACATTCGCGCCATCTGTCGACAGGAGCGCGGTACTGCAGTCCGTGCTCCATCGCCTCAAAAGGTAAAGCGCTGCCTATTCGAGTGTAAAAATAACCCAGAGTAACAAAACCCGACAACACGGTTACAATATTACAATTTGAAGTGGACATATCCAGCTTTTGCTCTGAAAAGAGTCGTTTTCGCAGTAAACGTCAAAAAATGACGCGTTTGCATGCAACACGTGGGCGGTTTGATCCAGTATTAAGCAGGAAGATAACACCATTATTCAGCTAAACACGGCATATATAATATTTGAGTGTATTTATGCTTAATAACAAATCGTAAACGTGATTACCACAACATATTTGCAAGCTCTAGTGACATCACAGTTATTAGCTTTATTTACAAAGTATTATAATCTATCAATGTTCCACTATAATAATAACAGTGTAAATAAAAGCCTTTGTGTAACAGAAAAAATAAATGCATTCAATAATTTGCTTTGTAAAATCGACATATTTGAATAAAAATACTCTAGTTGTTCTCACCTTCATTGCAGAAGCAGGAATAAACCCACACAGAAGAGCGGCTGGAGATATTTATAGAGTAGAACTACGGAAACCTATTGGACCATAAAGGACGGATATACACCAAGACCCACATAGTCTTTAATTAGGTTTAATTTATTCATTTTCTTTTCGGCTTAGTCCCTTTATTAATTCGGAGTCGCCACAGTGGAATGAACCGCCAACTTATCCAGCATACGTTTTACAGCCGAAACCCACCTCTGGGAAACATCCACACACACACACTCATACACTACAGACAATTTAGCCTACCCTATTCACCTGTACCGCATGTGTTTGGACTGTGGGGGATTATTTTTTATTTATTTATTTTTATATTATATTTTATACGATTATATTTATTATTGTTATAAACTTGTTTCAATTTTTTCTGTAATGACAAATGTTAAATTACAAATTAAAACCAGGAATGTTTTTTTATTACACTTCACTTACTGGCTTTTTATGTTCATTTCTCATTACAGTTAGAGATCAATATAAACTAACACATTTGGGAGTACAGTCATTCATTTTCCTTCGACTTAATCCCTTCATTCAGCAGGGGTCGCCACAGCCGAATGAACCGCCAACTAGGCCAGCATACGTTTACGCAGCGGATGCCCTTCCAGCTGAATCCCAGTACTGGGAAACACCCATACACTCCCATATTCACACTCACAAACTACAGCCAATTTAGTTCATCCAATTCACCTATAGCGCATTTCTTTTGACTGTGGGAGAAACCGGAGCACCCGGAGAAAAATCACAAGTATGTTCAGGAGAACATTATACAAGAAAATAATATATAAATTACATTAACTGTGTGGTTACAAAGAGGAAAAAATACATTAATATAGAAATGTATAAAAATAGAACTTTTTTGTTGTTAGACAATATGGAAAGGTCAAGGTCAACTTTACTTATATAGCACCTTAAAACAACATGAATGTTGACCAGTGCTTCACAAACATGGCAACAATGATAAACGATTAGAAAGAGGACAATATATGTAAAATAAGAAATCTGTATAATCAATAAGTCCTAAAAAAGAAAACTAATTTAGATTAATAGGCCAGAGAGAATAGGTAGGTTTTGACTGATTTTTAAAATCACATAGTAGATGAAGCTCTAATTTTATAAAGGTAATGTGTTCCAAAGTTTAGCGCATAGACTAAGAAGGCTCTGTCTTCTTTTGTTTTCAAATGGGATTTAGGAAAAACTAGCAGGAACTGAGAGGAGGACCTGAAGGATCTTTGGGGAAAGATTAGGTAGTGTCAGAAACATTCATCTATTAATACACGATAACTGGTTTCAAGGTTTACCACGGTTTGGAAAAGTCAAGTTTTAAAACCGCAAAAATTAGATTTTTTTTTTTAATGTGCTGTAACGAAATAAGTTTTTGAAAGTAATGAAGGAAGCAGAAGTCAAGGATTTATTTTAATTATTCAGCCTGACACATTTAGTGGTCCAAAATAATATAAATGTTTTCTAAAATCAAATGTATTTTGTTCAGTGGCGGAAAAAGTTTTTTTTTTACACAGACAAATTTAAAAGAATTTATTTTAGAGCAGTAATCACAATACTGTGATAGTGTGAAACTGTGAAATTTTTGTCCAACATTATCATATTGTCAGAAACTTATACCAGCCCATACCTAGCATGTATGTGGCTTTGTACAGTAGTCAACATTTGAAGCGGATCAAAAAAAGTTTTTAAAATTTGTCCTACATCAAGAATGGGTGTTGCTGATAAGTTGTAAGCTTTAAACCACTTTAAAATTGTTTTTTTAATAATAATTTTTAGGGGTTTTCACCTTGGTGCTATGCGTCGACGCACTAACCTCTAGGCTATTGGCACCAACGAACCACTTTAAATGTTGACTACTGTATATTAAGATGCAACTCACTGAAAAATTAAGTAGATCATTAACTATTTATGACAGAAAATATGGTTCAAAAGGTTTTAAAATAGATTCTTATGCTCACCAACACTGATTTAAAGGTTTAAAAACAGCATTAATTTCAATTTGTTTAAAAACAAAAACCTGTTATGGAATGCTTTATTCTTGTTATCAACGTTGAAAATCCTGTGCTGCTTTTTTATAATTTTTTTAAAACAATATAGACGATACAAAAGAACACAGCTGCTTTTGTTATCATGTTATCTATCTGCTTGTTAAGTCATGACATATGAAATACCAACACAATCTCACGGTAATTCGTAACTTTTTGATTTAGTAGCTAATTCGTATGAATTCATACTATCTAATTCTTACAAATTAGTATGATTTGCTCAGCCCCCAAAGACAGTTGGGTTTAGGGGTGGGGTTAGGTGCCACGCCTCCTTTTTAAAATCGTACAATTTCGCATGACTGAACTCGAATTAGTACGAATTAGCAACTAAACTGACAAAACGTTAAATACAAACGTTCTCTCGTGAGATCAGGCTGGAAATACTGTTTCTGGGTCAAAGTCGCAACTCATTTAAATTGAGTAAATATTTGTCTATGGCCACTTTTTGGTCAGATCACACATTTATTATATTATATTATATTATATCATTATATCATACATTTATTATATTATGTGAATTTATTATAAAATAGTGTAGACAACAATGTTTGGACTTGCTGCATCAAAGACACCAATATTTTAACAATTTATAAAAATTAATCACTTTCTGGTCATCAGATATTAGGCATGGATATGTATTGCGATCGTGATTTTCAGAAGTAATACAGGTCTTTGTAAACGTTTTGTTGAGTCTCCCCATACAGTTTGATATAGCGATTGGACCCAGAAGCTCCCTCACACTACGTAACAATAAACAAGCGGATTATTAAACTACCCATTTCCAATACCCAAACATGTTACGACTCACAAACGAAAACATACAGAATTAAAAAAGAATCCATTTATTATGGCTGCAGGTGTTATGCTATGCATTTCACACATGACAAATATCTCTTAAACCGTCTCACGGTTTCATAACAACACTGGGGCACATATTAGTCAATGCACAGCACACAGTCACGATCTTATCAAGGAATGTGATGTCCTCTCCGACATCTGGTACTGTCATGCTCACAAGTACAGGTCCATTGAGGAAAGTGTATTTGGTTCGAACACAAGCGGTCACCCGCTTGACATGTAACCTAAGGTTTGAGATCTGCCTCGTCGTCTCCACATCTCGAACTTTGAGCTGTCCTTCATCGACTTCAGCACATGTTAATCCAACACCGTCCCTGATGTCAAACCCACACTCCGACAACACCAAATCGCCACTTTGGATTTTCTTCAAAAGGCCGCTGCTTTCAATCAAACTCTTGTCATCGACTTGACTTTCCCGAGGTTTGGAAATAAAAGTGATGGCTCCACGTGGTATGGAGCAGATGAGGTACTTTAAAGTCTTCTTGTTTTGGGGAACCATTTGTGCTTTAGGTTTGCCATTCGACACTCGATCAATGTCGATTTCAATGGAATCCACGATAAACGCAACATGGCTGCCAAACGTCTCAATGAATTGTTGAGGCATTATAGTTTGCAGGCAAGGTCTTTCAGGCCAGACGACCAAAGGGTTGAGGCGTACATACATCATACTGACGGTCTCTTTAAATATACTCGATGCAGTCTTACGTCCTACTGAAAAGATATGCGCAAAGAGCTGATCCGGCAGATTGAGCTTCAAGCGCATCAGAGTTAAGATGAGCATCTGGAAAGGGGAAAGCTTCCGATTGTTTTGCTGCAAAGTAGGAAAAATCTGATCCAAAATGCCCATCAGAACGGCGAAGCTCGGAAGCCCGGTGTAGAATCTGACCTTAGAGTCGTCTTCTTTAAAAAAATCCTCATCCATTGTCTTCTGAGCGAGCTCTTTTTTAAGTCTGCGGTTCTCCTCAAGCAATCGGTTAATTTCTGCACGCCTGCAAACACAAAAACTACACTCGTCCTGCTCCAGGAGAGTAGATACATCAATCATCGGCGTCTGTGAAGTGTCATCCTGAGGCGGAGTTTCATCTGGAGGCGGAGTTTCATCTAGAGGTGGAATGTCATCTAGAGGTGGAGATTCATCCGGCTCTGTTTTCTGGACTGGGTGAATTGGTATAGGTGTAGGTTCTTGTTTTGGTTCTGGAGCAGTGTTTTTCTTTTTCAGAGTCTGCTGTCGCTTTTTCCTCCGTTCAAATCGGCTCGGTTTTGTTGCTTTAACTTCCGAGTGACCGAGATGTAATGATGGAGCCCAATCAGGATCACACTCCAGCATTTCATAGGCTGGTTTGCCTAAAATGTACATTTTTAAATTAGTTTTATAATTATGCAGTAATACAGGGTATATCATCTGTTTTATTGAGTCATGGCAAGCCTCTTTAGTATTTAACTGATGAAACGTACAGTTGAAGTTGATATTATTAGCCCCCCTATAATTCTTTTTTTAATTCTTCGTCAAATATTTGCCAAGTGATGTTTAACAGATTGAGGAAACTTATTGCTATAATATTTTGTTCTAATGGAGAAAGTCTGATTTCTTTCGTTTTGCAGGAATAAAAGCAGTTTTTTTAAGACCTATTTTAAGGCCACAATTATTAGCCTCCTTAAGAAATACAGTGCTTAGCATATACAAGTATGCATTTTTATTAATTTCTCAATGAATATGGGTAATATACATTGGTGCATTTAAACAAAACAGGCTTATTAAATGGATATATAATTATTAAAATAATATTTTAGTCATACATTTAATAATATAGTCATATAGTCAATAATATAGTCAAGTCATATAGTCAATAATATTTTAGAGCATCTTTAGAAATTGAAAGATAATACATTTAAATTCATGCAAAATATTGCAAAAAAATACAAGCAACAAAATTTTATATATATATATATATTTTTTTTTTCTCTTAATTTTTTTGCTAATTTTGACATTTTTATTTAATATTTTTCCCTGACATAAATTTGGGCTACTAATTTTTGAACCATTATTGTAAGTTAAAGATAGATTAGGTCCAGATTTGACTTCAGTATTGATAAAACTATTGTACATGCACACAAATAATATTGTAAAGCATCCCATAGGAAATATTCATTAAAATGAGAGATTTGTGGGGGGTGTACTCATATGCAGAGCACTGTATATCATCTGAAAAGCTGAATTAATAATCTTTTCACCGACAACTATTTCAAAAACTAAAATCTGGGGATTAATATATATAGAGATTATTACAGTTAAAATGGCATTTTGATTTTTTAAAAATATATTTTGACCATTAATCCCTTTCCTAACTAACATATTTGTGACCCTTTACAACAAATATTAAAATTGAGACTCATATATCTTTAAGTTTTGCTTTCTATATATTCAACAGATATATTTATCAAAATAATATTTTAATCACAGAATAACTTGAAATGGAAAGATAATACTTTTAAATTCATATCTTAAAAATTACAAACTACAACATTTCAACAAAATAGTATATATATTTTTTGTTTCTCTTGATTTTTTTTATATTTTTGAAAATGTTATTTAATACTTTTCCCTAACATATCAATTTAGGCTACTAATTTCTGAACCATTATTAGAAGTTATTTTGTGAGATTAGCTTTAGTACTGACTAACCTAATGTAAATGCACAAATATAATATTGTAAAGCTTCCTATAGAAAATATTCTTTTAAATGAAAAATTTGTGAGGGAATGCACTCATCATATATGCTGAGCACTGTGCATATATATATATATATATATATATATATATATATATATATATATATATATATATATATATATATAAATATATATAAAAAGATATATATTCTTTCTTTTTTCTCGATTGGCTACCGAACAAAAAACGGTTATCCAGTAGCTTGCCTGTTGAAAAAAATCATATCTCCGTTGAGCACTTAATATTTTTGAAGGAAAAAAAATCATAAAAGTTCTAATAATTTTGACTTCAACTGTACCTGTATCTATTATCATGCAACTTGTTTTTTAGATCCTATAATATTTTCATTAAAGGAATAGTTATTAACTCACTCTCAGAGCAGCTTTAGTGTATATAACTTTCTTGATGCTTCATTAAGACAAACAGTCACAGAGTTTTCAATTGTATTCTATAATTTTACCTGCCATTTATCAAAATGTTTTGTTTATACTGTGTTTTTTATTTGTTGTTGTCTGTTATTATTTGCAAGTAAATGATGGGTAATTTTTATTTTTGAGTGAACAAAGTATTTTATTTTTTTAAATATAACAACAGTTGTAGCCAAATACTACGATAGTATATAGTTACAACACTTGTTAATAAATGCTACAGCATACTCTAGAGTTTACTATAGTAAAATACAACAGCAAATAAAATTGTAAACAGTAAGAAATAATGTAGCATCCTTTAATTTTTACTGCAGTAAACTGTGTAAGCTATTGTATCAGCAATTCCATGCAAATGCCTACATTGCCATGAAAAAAAAATGCATTTTCTGCAAAATATCGAAACCTTTTCTGCATTTTTTTGTGTAAGCAATTATTTACAGAGCTTTAAAAATACTTACAAATGTCTGTTAATGTTTTCAAACTACTAAATTTGATCTACCAAAATCCCACAAGTGTCAATTTTACATTTGTCACATCCAAAACGGAGTTTTTTCCTGTCAAAATCAAATAAAATAATATCAATCATTTTTTTGTTTAATAGAGAGCCTATCCTTTTGATTAGCATTATTTATTTTGTGTTGTGCAGCTTAAGTCACAAAATTTCTACAAAAAGAAAGTCGTATACTGTAAACACCCTAACTTATTAAGCTCACATCTATAATGCATGTTTAATTTCCTCATTTAAAATATAAAGATTTTTTTTACAGATTGATATTTTTTTTGATTCCATAACTCCATAAAATGCAAACTGATGTTTCAATATAATGCTAACAAATACTTTCTCTCCAAATTTATGGTTTAAGTTTTTACTGCAAATGTCACATCTACAATGCTGGAATTGCTCTTATAGAATAGAGTAGTTTGTGAATATCACAATAGTTGTTATATAGTCTAGTGTAACACACTTTACTGTAGTACGGTTGAAAAGCACAGTAGATTTACTATTATAGCGAATTAAGCAGAGAGAAAATAAACCTGATTACCAAAATATGTTGGTGTTAGGCCGAATTGAAACAGGATTTCCAGGGCAAGAATCTTTACAACATTCGCGTTGGTTTCACAAATAATTTCCAGTCAAAAAGGTAAAACGTTAGGTTATTTTTAATTAATATCACTCACACGTGTGTTTAACCACATATTAAATTTTGTTTGTCAAAATATTGCACCCTTGCCTGCTTACGAAATCATACTCCATATGATTTAGCAGCTTTGACGCTGTTTTCAAGAGGTTTCAACAGCATAAATATCCAAAATACCGTACTGACTGGTACATTAACCGTGTAAAGTATGCTGTTGTTTACATCCGACTGTCGCCAGTATGGCCGCGCATACGGGAACTGACCGAATTTGACGTAAGTACAAAACCCTATGTTAGCATTGCAACAACGGAGCAGTTACCGTGTTTTCATTACTTCCCACCTTTGTGAAAGTGCCGTGAACAAACCACCATGTGTCGGGGAATGTTGTTAAATGAGATGTGTTTCAGTCGCACTGCCGCTATCCACGCCATGCGCCGCCGCTTGCTCAGCTCAGAGACCTGAGGACCATAGCCTTGCTTCCAAGTTGGAAAATGGAAGAATCGCACTCCGTTGCGGCGCTCGTGAGTGCGGTGGCGGCAGTTAAGAACGCAGCAGGAGTTCACCATTTTTACACTTTCTAGATATATAAAACACAAACTTCAACATCCACTGCTAATACAACTCAGCATCATTCGCAAATTACAGAGCCTTCATACCCAAAATGCACCGCGTTTTGGTGACGTCACGTTTCCATTCTTTGAGCGTTGATATCATATTTATATAAATTTTGTAAGAATTCCTAAATGGGAAAGTATTTGGTCATTGCCTCACAAATTTTTGGTTACAAATAAGATAAAAGAAATATCTTTTAAACTAATTCATAAATTCTATCCGGTTAAACATTTCTTAAGTAAATTTTAAAAGGATATTGATATAAATTGCTCTTTTTGTTCTTTGCATTTGGAAACTGTACCCCACCTTTTCTGCCACTGTGGTTATGTTAAAAAGCTCTGGTATGATGCTTCTGTTTTTATAAAGAAAAGGATACTCTTTAACTTTAATTTGCATTATGAAAATGTAATTTTTGGGTATTTTAATTATGATAATTTGAATAATGAAGCTTTTGTTATTAACCTATTTATTTTGCTAATTAAGTTTCATATTCATAAGTGTAAATTTCCAACAAAAAACCTTGTTTTACTGTGTTTTATAAGGAACTGAAAAATTACTTTTGCACTATTCAGCATAATGCTAATCGAAAGGCCGTTAAAACTGTCCAACTGTGCTCTAGTTTCAATATCTTTGATTAATGTAAAGGTCCTGCTTGTTTATATTTGTAAGAATTTTAGTTAAGTATTTATACTCTTATTTTTATGTTTGTTTTATTTTATTTTATGTATTGTTGTTATCATTTACTTTCTATCACCCTGGCATTGTTTTGTTTGCTGTATTGTCATGTATATGTTGTTTAAAGCATAATAAAAAAAAAATTAAAAAAAATCATATTTATATATCTGGTCAAAAGTCATATACAACACAATACAAAAATATGACAGAATCAGCATTAGTACTGGAAGGCATTGACTTTCATGATAAGAAATGCAATAATAAGCATATTCATCTAATTCTTCAGCAAAGAAATCGTATTGTTCCACAAGGCAAATTTCACTGGGCTGCATTAATTAATAATATAGATTGGAGAAAAGCTTGGTTGTTGCCTCATAAATACTCCCTTCCCAATAAAACTAAAGAAATCCACTTTAAAATATTGCATAAAATATACCCGGCTAACTCATTTGTTTACAAATATGTTGATATTCCGAGTAGTTTTACATTTTGTGGAAAGGATGATGAAACTTTAATACATTTATTTTGTACGTGTGAATTTGTTAAGAAATTTTGGTTTGACCTCTATCGTTATTTAAACACCCCTCCTACCTTTGCACAATCTTTTAGTTTAAAAGAAATTATTTGTTATAACTCAGAATCTTCACATAAATCTAAAGAATTTATCTTCAACTTTTTTATCGTTTGGAAATTTTTTTTTATACATAAGCAAAACTGCATGGCTTCAGTCCCTACTTTTCGAAATTTTCTGATTGAAGTTGACTCACTGCTCAAATCTTTCCGTATATGTAAAAACAAAAGATGTGTCAGATTCCTGGTTCTATATGAAGAACTGTTGTCTACGGACTCTGATTTGAGGTAGAACGCTTTCCCAATGCTCTTAATTTAATTTCATACACTTTTATACGATTGTAATTAATTCACCCCTTCCTTTGTTTTGTTAATCTCTTTTTTTCTCTCTTCTGCAGCTAATGTAATTAGTATTTTTCTTCTTTGTATGTCTCCTATATCGATCTCCTGATTGTGGTTGTATATTTTCATTCTTTAATAATAAATTTAAAAAAAAATCATATTTATATAACTTGACAACAGACATGTCAGACGATTGTTACATTACTCTGTATATACCTCCCCAAGATGTAAATTTTTCTGGACCAATTTCTCTGATTGCTTTCAATGGAAGAGAGCATGGTTATTACCAGAAAAAGTCAGCATATCCAACAAAATAAGAGAGATACATTTTAAGATCTTGCATAATGTTTATCCTACAAATTCCCAAATTGCTAATTATTTCATATGCTAATAATTTGTCATTATGCTAAATGACATTATTTTTTATCTATCATCCTTATTTAAACATGATTTAAATTTGTCTATAAAATATATATTTCTGTATTTCTCGGGTGAAGATCATGCTCTCGATCTTATTGTACATTTTTTTTGTGTTACACTGTAAATTTTTTTATACACAAAAATAAGTTTCTAAAAACAATACCTATTTTTAATACTTTCCTTGTTGAAATTTCGTACAATATTGAATCTCTTAAGCTTATTAATAATAATAAGAATAATATGTTTCTTAAAGCTTATGACGATCTTTTTTCTTAATGATTGAGGCTGTATATATTTTTTTCTTCTCTCTCTCTTCTTTCTTATTTTTTGTTATTGTATTTTTTCTTCAGTGCAGTGATGTTTTTATTTTTGTATAAAAAAAAAGCAAAAAAATCATATTTATATCTCATACTGAAACTGTTTTTCATTTATTTTGGGAGTGTAACTATGCTGTACAATTTGGGAAACATATTGGATTATTTATTAATGATAATATACAACAAGATGTTTCTGTTACTTTTAAAGAAATTATTTTTGGTTATTATGAATCTGCCCTTACTAAGAGAAATGCTTGTTTCGTTATAAACTTAAATTTATTTTCTTTGTAAATTCCGTATCCACAAATGCAAATTTACCAATACTAAACCATATTTTCCTGTTTTTTTGCAAGAATTTAGTCATTATATACAATTCATTTCATTATCTAAAAATAAGAAGACAAACAGAACTATTTCATTTTTTAATGACTTTGATTTGTGTACTGTTCTTGATTCTTAAATGTCTCACCCTCAAGTTTATATGTGTATATATATATATATATATATATATATATATATATATATATATATATATATATATATGTGTGTGTTTCCTCTTTTAGACCCTTCTACTGCAATGGTAGGAGAATGTTGTTTCTCTGCAACTTCTTCAAATCAGTACAATCAAAATTAGTACAATACAATATTTTGACTTTATCTCAGGTATTTAATTCAGAAGGCTTGTCTTTAATTATAAAGAGTTTTTATGCAAGTTTGGTTTCCCTGTAACTCCAAAAAGAATTTTCCATTGTAGTGGATGCAATTCCTAAAGGAGTGTAATGCTTTTTAGAGGCTATGGTGGAGTATCTAGTGTGTCATCTGTGCCATTGCACCCCTTGGAAACTTCAGTGGGAAAAATATGTTTTTTGTCACAACCTTCCTCACGTAATTACAAAACTAGCTCTCTCTTTCAAAAAGAAACAGTAACATCCCCATATGTGAAGGTTTTTTTGGATGGAAATTTCATTTAAACTGTTACAGATTTTACCCAGCCATGACATTATTGAAAAGATTCAGTCAGATAAGTCAGATATAGATACATGCTATATATCAGAATAAATGATAATTATTCTTGTAATGACCAACTAATATTCATTCAAAAAAAAAAAAAGAATTAAAATGTATATAAACAGAGCCCCACAAAATATTATGAACACTAAACCCACTGGGCGGTTCCTTTTCATTTCTGACTAATAATAACTATGTCTAAAAACGACTATGAATCAAGGTGAGCAGTAAACCCTGAACTAAATAACTTTTTATAAGTGTATACATATCCTTTGCAAGTACAAGTTTAGCAGTATTGTTTGTGTCCCCTTCATAAATTGCTCTTGAGGAATTTTTGGTATATTATCCTCCAAAATTACACCTTCCTGAAAATATACATGACACTGAAAAAAGTGTTGCATGCAGAACTGTTGCAAACAATTAGTTTGTGTTGAATTTAAACAAACAAATTAAGTTTAGTAATGTTCAACTTAATTTGTTTGTTTAAATTCAGCCCAAATAAATTGTTTACAACCTCTTAATGTAAAGAAATTGAGTAAATCCAAGGAATCATCTTCGAATAATTTTTTTCAGTGCAAATAAACGCTGCATTATGGAATTTTGAAACTTTATTACAGTCATATAACAGGCAACTAATGGTAATCAATACAATACCAATAAATACCCGGTATTAAGTTTAATTTGTTGAATATTTCATTCTGGGATGGCCTATTTATACAAACATTTTCAAGGGATAGTTCAGACAAAAATGTAAATTTGCTTTTAATCCCTTCACCTTGGGATATCCAAGATTTAGGTCACTTTATCTGCAGTAGAACATTAAAGTCTTTAGTTAAAGCTGTGCTCCTTGTTAATTCAGAAAATAAATGTCAAGAGCTACCAGAACTTCAGGTATAAAACCAACAACAACAACAAAAATACATACAAGTAAAACACACTTAATTCTGAACAAATGAAAAATCAGTAAATGATGACAGAATTTTAATTTTTTGGGTGAACTATCCCTTTACGTTGAATATTCTGATTCTCTCACACACATCCTGACCTCTCTCTCAAATCCCCTTGAGAAGCTCCATCTGCCTCCTCTTGTCCTTCGCCCTTTTAATGGTCATTTTGAACAATCGGCAGTACAACTCCATCGCCGCAGGAGTGTCATCATTACCTGGCACCGGGTATGAGATCAGACTGGGGTTGCAATTGGAGTCCACGATCCCCACTGTGGGAATATTCATCTTGGCCGCGTCCCGAATCCCGACGTGCTCCTGGAAGACGTTATTGAGGGTGGAGAGGAACACGATGAGGTCTGGGAGCCGGACGCCAGGATTGTACTGGATGGGAGCGTTGGTGAGGAGTCCGCCTTTCCAGTAGCGCGTGTGAGCGTATTCCCCGCAGTCCCGCGCTGTCGTCTCCACCAGATGAGCGAACTGCCGTCTGCGGCTCACGAACAGGACGACGCCACCTCGAAACGCCACGTGGGCCGTGAAGTTGAGCGCCCGCTGGAGATGATCCACCGTTTGCTCCAGGTCAATGATATCCATGTCCAGGCGACAGCCGAAGAGATACGGCTCCATCAGACTGCAGAGGCATACAGCATTTGTCATGTTTACAAAGGTGAGTAGATAGATGTTGTTGTTGTTTTATTATTATTGTCGTTTTTACTTTATCATTAACTTACTATCATTGTTGTCCTTACCCACCACTGATTGGTTTTGATCTATCTATCTATCTATCATCTATCTATCTATCTATCTATCTATCTATCTATCTATCTATCTATCTATCTATCTATCTATCTATCTATCTATCTATCTATCTATCTATCTATCTATCTATCCTTTCAAACTGCTTTAATCCATCCATCCATCCATCCATCCATCCATCCATCCATCTATCTATCTATCTATCTATCTATCTATCTATCTATCTATATATCTATCTATCTATCTATCTATCTATCTATCTATCTATCTATCTATCTATCTATCTATCTATCCTTTTTCAAACTGCTGTAATCTATCCATCCATCTATCTATCTATCTATCTATCTATCTATCTATCTATCTATCTATCTATCTATCTATCTATCTATCTATCTATCTATCTATCTATCTATCTATCTATCTATCTATCTATCTATCTATCTTTTTTCAAACTGCATTAATCCATCCATCCATCCATCCATCCATCCATCCATCCATCCATCTATCTATCTATCTATCTATCTATCTATCTATCTATCTATCTATCTATCTATCTATCTATCTATCTTTTTTCAAACTGCATTAATCCATCCATCCATCCATCCATCCATCCATCCATCTATCTATCTATCTATCTATCTATCTATCTATCTATCTATCTATCTATCTATCTATCTATCTATCTATCTATCTATCTATCTATCTATCTATCTATCTATCTATCCTTTCAAACTGCTTTAATCCATCCATCCATCCATCCATCCATCCATCCATCTATTTATCTGTCTATCCACAGATCTATCTATCTGTCCATCCATCCATCCATCCATCCATCCATCCATCCATCCATCCATCCATCCATCCATCCATCCATCCATCCATCTATCTATCTATCTATCTATCTATCTATCTATCTATCTATCTATCTATGTCCACCCATTTGGCCCAATGGAGGTGTCTGCTGGTGGATGAAGGGTTACTGCCTGTTCTGTCTTTCCAGTGTACAATGTTGATTTACTTTAAATTTAACTCATATCTGACTCCGATTTGAAGTTGGTTTAAAATATTAATATATTTATTTTTTGTTTTATCTGACTCCAATCAGAAAACATTAAGAAGATTATATCAATATATAGTTTAGATAAATGTTTGAACCTTTTGTCTTCACTCGTAACAATTATATTTGTCCATTCGGGTGCTCATGCCGCTCAGAGCAATGTCAGATGGCGTGCCTCACGGTCGCACTCCTGTCAGTCTTGATTATTAAACAGAGGTAATTGACTAATACTTTTAGATGGCCGCTCCCATGCTTGCTCATTCCAAAATATTTTTGATTAGTCCCGCTTATGCCTAGTTCAGACTGCATGATTTTAGCCCCAATTTTGGCTCGGCGACAGGTTTTGAGAAATCGCCGACAAATGCCTGAAATCACAGGCAAATCGGTGCTCGTGCACGTGAGTGACAATCACACAGTATGAACTATCAAAGACGCGATCTGAGAGAATCGCCGATGAGTCGCCGATGCCTGTGAGATATTTGGCGTGCTAAATATCTGGAGCTGTCGGCGATTCAAATCATACCGTGTGAATTGAGTTTTGACTGAAAATAACATCAGCCATCGCCTACAGCCAATGAGAGAGCGGCATTCACTTGTGTGTGTGTGCGTGTTTACCTGCTGCAGGCTAGCGGGAGGCTGGGGGAGAAGTTAAAAGCGCTCGTTTTCGGTTTATTTGGACCCACGAAATGGAGGAAAAACTAGTGCAGGTTTGACAGGACTCAGGAGCAACCATGTCTGTTTGATGTTTCATACATAAAGAAATTAGTTTATTATCAACGTTGAGGAGAAATGGCTAATTCCCTTTAAATCCAGGTGAGCAAATATGGACATTTTCTACCCCATTAAAGGCTTCTTTCTCATTATGTAGTTAATAACAAAAGATATACTACGTGTTTTTGGCTGTGAGACATAGTTTGGACGAACTTGTCGGCGATTCTTCCTATGGTAAAGTCATGCAATGTGAAAGTCCTTGTCACAGATCAATCTTGCAGTGTAAACAAAGCAGCGACGAAACGCTAGCCCAGATAGTCAAGCTGTGTGAAAACATCTGTGACACGACTACTTTGAAAATCATGCAGTCTGAACTCGGCATTAGATGTACACCCCTGAGTAACGACAATATCATTTCTAATCAGGTGACTGACTGACTGTCTGTCTTTTATTTACAGTTCTGTTTAACAGAAAGAAGTTTTTTTCAGCTAAAAGTGACATTTAAAGGCTTAACTAGGTTAATTAGGCAAGTTAGAGTAATTAGGTAAGTCATTGTATAACATGGTTCTAGACCAGTGGTCCCCAACCCCCGGGCCACGGACCAATCCCAATTGATCCACAGCCCACACAAGAAATCATTAATTATTTCAGCTTTATTTATTATCTGAGTCTGAAAAACAATTTATTTTGAAAAATGAACGTATTCTATTGGTTACGTATCAGTCATCTGACACCAAAATTGAACTCACAAGCAGCAAAATGAGTAAGAAACAGACATCTTTGCAAAGTTGCTTGATGCAATTATACAGAAAGTTACTCACGCATGTCGGCAGCCTTTCTTGTGTCCAAGATGGACGCGGGCATCAAACAGGTCCTTCATGCTGAAGAGCTCAGACAAGTGGAAATAATCTGGCTGAGTGAGGGGGAAGTTGAGGATTTTATCTGTAGCATCTGCACATGTAAAACAAGCAAACATTTATGAATGTAGAATAAATACTGCACAAGTTACATTCTCATTGTAAGAATGAAATGTTTTGTATAGTTATGCTTGCAAAAACCTTTTTATAAAATCAGAACAACAGTTAAACTGTACACAGGAAACATAACAACATTTATTTAAATTTAGCAAAATTTACATCATAGTTTCAGCTAAAAAACTTCTTTACTATTCGACTGGCGAAAAATAGAAGCCATATACATGATCAGTAAATAAAGTCATTTTTGACCATTTGCAATTTATTTATTAATGATTTATTTATTGCATATTAACACCATATCGGCAGAAGTTTTCACACCAACATTAGAAATATATATTAAATGCACAATGAGCAATTATAAAGGAATCTTAATAACAAGAATTATACAAAACATATAAATAAATAATATTAATAACAACAACACTGACAAAAGGTACATCTGCACTTCATTTTTATGTATAACCAACATCAAATATTCTTTGGAATATACTTAAGTCACTATTAAATAACATGTTTTTTACCAATAAAGCTATAATCTACAGCAATACGCATTCAATACTTTATAATTTAATATTACATATTTATATTATTATATTATATACTATTATTACCGTATTTATGACATAAAAGTTTGACACGCATGATTTAGTACCAAACATGGGCGTTGCTAGGGCTATTTTAGGAAGGCAGTAGCCCCCCTTGTGCTGTATTAATTGGTTAATGAGCAACAATAACAAAAACACTTTAAAATATAAGAAGTTTTCTTGGGATTTTCTAAACTAGTGGTGTTTTGAAATTAATGAATGCATAAAAATAATAGTAATAACCGTGAAATCGTGATTATTTCTTAAACTATAATTGTACAACTAAAATCTATAATCGTTGCATCCCTAGTCACTGACAGAGATAGAAAGATCAAGTGTTGTTTAGTATTAAAAAATATTTATTATTATCATTCAGATCGTGAAATATGTGAATTAGCCTGTAAGTTTAAATATATATGTATATGCATGTCATCTAATTATAAAAGTGGCAGTTTATTTATTTAATACATGGAAACAAAAAAAATACACTTGAACATAGAAAGTGGTTTTTACTACAGTAAGCAGGTGGGTTGAGCCTATTTGGCTCACTCAGAACTCGGCTATGCCTGTCTATGTAATACAGTGGAATACTGGTATACAACCCATATTAAACAAACATTTTAAGTGTATTATTATTAAATTACTACTTATAAATTTAATATTAGGATATATATATATATATATATATATATATATATATATATATATATATATATATATATATATATATATATATATATATATATAATGTTGTTTTTTTTTACCTTATAAGGAGCTGAGAACCCCTAAAACGAAAATCCTAACATCGCCCCTGGTACCAAATACTTCCATTGCTCACATATACAGTAGTTTACAAATGCATTATAAACAGAAACAGAGTTTCAGGTAGTGTGTAAATATGAATAGTAACCATTTAATCATCGAGTGTGAGTCAGACTCACCGGTTTCTATGGTCGCTGCTGCCGGTGAATGAACAGCAGCGGCCGCGGAGCTCAAAGTCTGTCCATGACAGGAGAACAGAGCAGCGGCCAACCGAGGACCACGGAGAGCCTGCCTTACTGAAATATTAGTCATGTAAATACATCACATTAAATATTGCATACAGTTTTTACAAAGTGCGCTGCAAAACTAGTAATATTTTATTATTATTAATATGCTTTAAACAGATACATGACAATAGAACAAACAATAAAATGCCAGGGTGATACGATAAAAAATAACAGTACAAAAATTAAATATATAAATAAAATAAACAAACACACACATAAAAAACACATGTATAAATAATTAAAATTCTTACAATTACAAACAAGCAGGCCTATCTATTAGTACTATGTTAAATAGTAACGTTACATAAGTAATTTTAGTTGCTTATAAAACAAAAGTAAAACAGGGTCTTTTGTTGGAAACCTTATAGTTATGAATATGAAACATAATCAACAAAATAAATAGATTAATAACAGCAAGACTAATACACTTGTCATGTCATTTCATACGCATTGTTTGGGGTCATTCAAAATCACGGGTTAGATTTTCGATCTTTACGCAGTATTTACCGCTATTAAAAGATGGTGTACCTGACCAGATGGATTATAATGTACAATAACATAAAATAAAAATAAAAGCACGTTGTATTTCACCTCTAGTTAAGACGCCCGCTGCCATGTTTCCGTTGAGCTCCGCCCACTTGAGACTGAGAACATAGGATTGTGGGCAATGATGTTCCATACAGTGCTTGGTCTCTGCATTTCGCACAACACGAACTACAAGCACCACAATGACCCAGTGATTTGAACTCATAAAACACTTTATTTAAAAAACACCAGTATCAATTATTAAGTACAGTGAACGACTTATGATAAAAATGAAGAACAGTTGATGGAAAATGAGGTAAAAACAAGAACAATTATTCATACATATTCATAAGTATGTGTGACAATATTAGGTTGAACTCGAGAACCTCCATCATTGTACTTTCCAGTGGCTTCAGGTTATCTGTAATAAAACAAAACATTAGACACGTTTAACTTAAATTAAAAACTATACTTCAGTTCTTGAGCCAAAAAACAACATCATAATATATTATTATCACCAGTTCAATGGATTAGCCATTAGGCCTTTAAGTGTGTATTGAGTAAAATGTTCATTAGTGTTTTATTTTATAAACTGTTGACAATAAGAATAGAATTTTCAAGCATTCATTTGCGAAAAATGACAACAAGCTGTGGAAAAATATGTATACAATACAATACATTACAATATGTCTTTGTACTCATTTAAACCGAGTCAACAACTGAGTATTGCTCTGTCATTTTCAGTCTGATTTAGTAAACTATTGATAATACAAATATCATAATTTTCGAGCATTTATTTGCAGAAAATGACAACAAGCTGTGGAAAAATATGTATACTATTCCCAATATGTCTTTGTACTCATTTAAACCAAGTCAACAACTGAGTATTGTTTTGGCGTCTTCAGTAGTTTGTTGTTTTTATTCAGTCTCCATTTATTTTCTGACTGTGAAACAACAGCCTGTTTCAGTGTTGACATCTTGAAGACAAACTAAGCAGTGTATTTGTGCCACACGTAGGCCCAATCCCAATTTTTTACCCTTTCCCCTTGGCCCTTGAAACAGAGTGTGGAGGGGAGAAGAGCTTCAACATTTACCCCAAACAAATGGGACAGCACTACAGCTGTCACAGCTACATGTCATCGTGATCTCTTGCTTCATATAAGATTGATGATTGCGACTGCTAGTTATTCCAGCTGGATTTTGTTTTAATATTGATCTTCAGAAAATCTCCGAAGGCAATTACATCATGTTACCATAACGATATAATGTGGCAATAAGATCGTAACTGTACTGTGCATTTACACTGTGGCCATATTCATAGATGTAAACACAAGACAACAACATTATTGTTGAACCAGACACTGTAAAATGGCAACTAAACTATTCTTTCCATCCGGAGCTCCTTCACGGCACTCCACACTTGTAAACAATCGCTACATTGGGCTCGCGCCATTCGCGTGGCTCTCGGTCCCGCCCAGTTTCATCAGCGATACCAAGCCGACCAATCACAGAGCTTGCGCTACACAATGTTGCGACTTGTAGTTAAATTTTTTTTAAAAGGTACACGTCAGCGATGCTGACGGCCATGGCATAGGGCTATGCTTTAATGCCAAGCATACGTGTGTGTTTGAAGCAGAAGTATAAATCAGCCTTAAGTATGTGAAATGGGACGCAGCACTACGAAATATAAGATGATCAAAGAAATAGAAAGTAAGATTATGGATAAAGAATGAAGAGTTTCTTTGGCATAATCACAATAAATTCTCTCTTTTTTTGTCAAAACTTTTGCAATTTTAATAAAACCTACATGCATTCCTTTAGGGGATAAAACATGACCACATAAAGACACAATACTTTCTATTTGAAAGCAGAGGCTTGGTTTTTTGATATATAAAAAACTTTAGTCCTAGCATAACATTTTCTGATGGCTGTCAAATTAATGTGACAATAATCAAAATTGGCCGGCAACCTTTTAAAAACAAATACTGACAGGGAAAGAGTTAACAAACAAAGTATCTAAAGATGTTTTGTATGAACACCTATTGCTTGTGTAAGTGGGGTCAGGTGTTTACCTTAACACACTGACCACAAACTGCAGCCTTCGTTTGACTGTCTGCTTTGCCTACAAAACGAACAAACACACACACGCATAATCAAAATGTCAATTCGGCAGACTATATATATTTCCTTATACTCAAGTGTATCAAATCTGTAAAATCATCCATTTTTAACACAATCTTTCAGCATTTCTCATACCTGTAGCTGCTTTTGAATTCGCATCCGTCTGGTTTTGAATTTCAGACGCCTTTCCGCAGTGTTCAGGGCGATATATGGACTTAACAAGATCCCTGGGTCTATTGATGTAGACAAAGACCTGAAGCAAACATAAGAGAGATTTACACATACAGTGTCTGGATCCATGTGCTGTCAAAAAGGTGAACTTAATCTGATATTAACTATATATTATATCATATAACTGTTATTATAAATTCAAAGCTATTTTTGTTTCTTGAAACACTGTTTAGTTAGAGTATAAATGCACATTTCACCTTACAGTTTGAATTAAACAGAATTTGCATGTTCACGTGAAATCCAAAAATTAATCTTGCAAAGTTTAAAGCATAATTACTTAACATAAAGTGACATGGTGTCTCCAATTTTGGTGTCTGGATACAGTTATAGATGTATATATGCATATAGACCATTTTAAAGAAAGCAAACAAAAAAAAGGGTCTCAATGTATTTCCTGTTTTACATTTTTAATTTTTATAGCTTCCAAGAATACAAATAGAGCAACATGCTGATCAATAATGTTATGATCGCTGTTTTAACATTATGCTATGATTGAATTGCATTTTATTAATAGTTTGATAAATAGAAAATGTTCATGGGCCAATGACACGACCACATTGAAATGGTCTATATAAGCATTTTATATACATATTAACCCTTTCTAGTGCAGTTTTTCAACATTCAGCTTGAGATGACAGAAAAACGTGGCTGAAATAATGTTCTGTCGTCATTCAGCTTACCTGATATATTTATTTTAATGTTGTTTATTGTTATAATCTGCTTGCTGACAAATATTCAAAGATTTTAAAATGACAATTAATTAGCATTTTGGGACTGTCACCAAATGAATCTGAATTAAACAAGTTTTTTTGTGAATAAACATAAAACTTTGATGTATCATTAGACTAAATTACATGTAAGTGGGTGTCTTTTGTAAATCACTTAAAAAATGTATGATAGTAAATAATAACCTTATATGCACACGTGTACAGGACAAAAAAACTCAATTAAATATGCTGTGCTAACACCAGACGCGGAACGTGCGGATAAATCACAATATTCGCGCGTAAATAGACACGTGAACATTTGAATTTACTTGCTTTATTCGATCGTCAAATCCGCTTCAATCGTAAATTGCGAATTCGTCTGATGGGCAGGGCTTCGGTCTGCCCGGTGACTCTAGCTTTATTGTAAAATGACTAACATGGATGTTATTGAGAGAATAACTTTGTTCATGTGCTTTATGAAGGCTGAAAAACAGCGTAGATTCGTTTGGAGCAGTGTCCAACAGATCCTTTTAAAGGTGCACCCAGCTCTGTGAGCTCATAAACTTCTCCAGAAACTTAACCTGGATGATGGAAGCATTCAGCGGTGCTTCTGACTGAGCCGAGCCAAGTTTGATCAACTGTTGTCAGTGTGTGCAGGAGGATTTTCCCCCGGGACACCAACAACAGGTGCTTTGTCATAATCACGCCCCCATAAAAGCAAGGTCCTAATTGGTTAACGATGCGCGAATGTCTGCTGAAGTTCAGATTTTCGAACTTGAGCATTTCGCGTGAAACATACGTTATTCGCGATGCGTTATTCGCACGTATTGCACCGCAGGGTGTCTATTTGTGTCTTTGCATTGACTTAACATGTAAATCACTCGCGCTTGATGCTTCTTCCGCATCTGGTGTGAATGCAGCATTAGCATTAACTTTTTCGGCTCTATTTTAACAATCTAGGCGCAAAGTCTAAAGCAATAAGGGTGTATCTGAATAAACTTTTGCTATTTTAAGAATGGAAAAATACGCTCTGCGCCCTGGCCCATGAGGGTTGCTTATTCTTTTAATGAGCTATGGGTGTGTTTTGAGCATAGGGTGTATTAATCCAATCAGTCTCATCTCACATTCCCTTTAAAAGTCAGTTGTGTTGCTCCATGGTGCATTTGCTATTTACGTTCCGGACTTTGTAAGTGGAAAAACTGAATGGAAAAAACTGAACGTTTTACTAGCAAGAAAACAAGAGCATCTGCAGCACGACAATAATGAGCCTCCTCCATTCAGCCTCTTTACTTTCTCTTTACTTTACTCGTTTACTTTAATGGGGTAAGGAAACTGTGTTGTACTCACTCCACTGAAGACATCCATTAGCTTACATATTCAAATTAGTTTGTTAAGCACAAAGATTTGTGTCAAAACTATTTATAATTCAGTTCTACTTTCCAGCAAACGAATAAATGAACAATAATAATAAAGTGTGGTCAAACAACTCAGTTATATCCAAAAACTCTCTCCAAAACCCAATAGGTGGACAAATCTAAACTTGTTTTTATTAAAACAAATATAAATATGCATATAATAAATAATACTGAAAATAATGATAACATTATAAAAATGCAGATTGTCATGAATAAACTAAAAAAAGCCCCCCGACATGAAGAAGGCATGGAGGCAGTGGTTTATATATATCATCTATGTAATAATTTTTTTGTAACATTTTAATCTTTTAATTCTTTTCATATGTGAAGATGTTTGTATATTGCTGTACATCCTTGTACTAAGCCATGTGTAAGCATTTGGACCTGCATAGGCGCATATAACACGATCTGTCTTGGACTTTAGAACTTTTCAGTTCCTCAAAATAGCAACACGCCAACGATGTGCCTTAACACACCTCCTTTCTTTCTAGACCAGCACACTCATGAGTCCACAAATTGGTGTAAATGAATTTGCTATTTAACCAACAAGGTGCAAAACGAGAAAATTAGGGTTGCGCTGGTCTGAAAATAGCAACAAATCGCGTCATACACGTCTTACCCGGGTGTATGATAGGGTCCTTTGTCTTTGACCATTATGCATCATTAATTTCTACCAACACTGCTTAATTAGTCACCAATATATTATGAAATCACATTGATGCAACAAAATGCATAAAGACACTAAATCAAATTGTATATTCACTTCACATTGCATTCATAAGATATCACCCAGTCTTTTCATTTTGACAGCTGAAAAACATTCGACAGGACAAAACTGCATCAAAATAAACCTATAAAAGTAGACTAGCATTAGCACCACTTAAGTCAGACATCTGTGAGAAAGGAAGTCACTTTAAGGAAACTTTTATAATAAGCTACAAGAGAGGAAGCCATGTAAAATACTGATTAGAAACAAACATATAATTAAGATATACATCCAAACATTTATTTAAGAAACATACAGCCTTGTGTGTCAAAGTCAATTTTTATTATACATCTTGAAAGATACAGTCTGAGTTTTTCTCTGTGCAGAGGACCAAAAAAAACCTTTCTTTTTTTAATCATTTTTGCAAAATATTTATGAAAACTGGCAATGCCCAGCATAGTCAGCATGAGTCTGTACTTTCTTCTCTTCTATAAACAAAAATAAATAACATTCTTTTCACATTGGAAACACCTACATATAATAAGCAACTGAAACAGGAACTAAGAAACAGGTGCAGAGAAAGAGAGATGAGGGAGGTGTGACTTTTGATAAGTATGCAAATATGTGCAAAAAGACACTGAGAGAGCTTTCTTATATGTACAGTCTGATATAAATGTCTTGTACGTCCAGTGGTATAAAAATAATAGCCTAATTGTGAAAAAAAATCTAACTAAATACATAACAAATGTTAAAAGGGCACACCAGAGGCAAAAAATGCATGTGTTGAGGGCACAATAGTAATTCAAAGGTTAAAAAAGTAAAGGTTATAATAGTTGCTAATGGCATTATTTGTGTACAATTTTTCAGTAACACTTTACTTTAAGATTTTATTATTCAATGTATTTACTAACATGAACAAACAATACATTACAGTATTTATTCATCGTTATTAACATTAATGACAATACAAAATTAACAAGCACTTTGGATTTTAATAATGCATTAGTAAAGGTTGGACTGTGATTAATAAATACTGTACAAGTATTGTTCATTCTTAGTTTGTGTTGGTAAATACATCAACTAAAACTAACTCATTCATTCACTTTCCTTCGGCTTAGCCTTATTTATCAGAGATCGCCACATTCGAATGAACCGCCAACTTATGCAGCATATGTTTTACACAGCGGATGCCCTTCCAGCTGCAACCCAGTACTGGGAAACACTCAAACACTCTCACACACTACGGCCAATTTCATTCATTAATTTTCCTTCGGTTTGGTCCCTTTATTAAAGGTCGCCACATTGGAAGAAACGGCCAACTATTCCCGCTAATGTTTTACACAGCGGATGCCCTTCCAACTGCAACCCAGTACTGGGAAACACCCAAACACTCTCACTCATACACTACGGCCAATTTTGTTTACCCAATTCACTTATACTGCATGTGTTTGGACTGTGGGGGAAACTGGAGCACCCGGAGGAAACCAACACGAACATGGGAGAACATGCTAACTCTACACAGAAATGCCAACTGGCCCAGCCCAGGCTCAAACAATCGACCTTCTTGCTGTAAGGCGACAGTGCTAACCACTGAGCCAAACCTAAGTGAAGTTTATTTATAAACTAATTTCGAGAGGATCACATGCTCATGATTGCTTGCAGCTGGTCCCGCATTATTCAATTTATGATTCACCAATCAGACAGTTCCTAAGCCACTATAAATACCCTAATTTCCATATAACAGCCATCTTCATTTAGAAGAAGCCCCCTTCCACCCCTACTCCTCATTTCCTAGAAGTGTGGCACGGTGGCCCAGTGGTTAGCACTGTTGCTTCACAGCAAGAACGTTACTGGTTCTAGTCCTTACCAAGCTGGCCAATGTTTATGTGTGGAGTTTACACGTTCTCCCTGTGCTCACGTGGGTTTCCCCCGAGTTCCTCCCACTGTCCAAAAACATTCAACTTAAGTTAACTGACTTATCCAAATCAGCACCATAGACATGCTCCTAGTCAGTAGTTATCGCTTAAGAGCAATCTCTATCTGTTCATTAGCTACTACAGCAGGGGAGTTCTCGAGATCTACCTGAGCTCAAACTCACCTCTTGCCTTGCAAATGGGAGGGACCCCCAGGCTGAAGGATCTTATGAGCTCAGGGCTCTCTCCCAGGACAGCATGCCAAACAAGCTTCATAATCAATCATCAGCTAAGTGTGAACTCTTGAAAACTAACTATTGGAATCTTATTGTAAAGTGTGACCAAAATATAATAGCACATTAATGTCTGTTTTTCATACACAATCATACATCCTTTAATAGAACAATTTGCAGATGAATGGCACTATATTAAAATAAATTCATCCTGCTTGTGTTTCACAAATGAAGCCCATCTTAGTCACTCGGTGTTGCACTGAGGAAATTTTCCAGATTTAGAAATCTCCTTATACATGACTTAAAAGTGATTATGATTACGGTATCGGAGGTTGTGATGTTGATCAACTGTAGACAAGATTTTTACCATAAATGTAGATCTTAAAAACCATTCGTCATCTGAAAATGAGCTGTTGCACATAAAAATTGCTTAATTCTCTTGGGCATTACATTCTGCAGTCTTTCAGTTTACCACAAGAATTGCATTTACCTGTTAGCTATGATGTGCAGCAAGGTTGTTACGATACTGGAACTTGGTACCATATAGTTGAAATTTTAAAAACGGACATTTCCCACTAGGGTTGGGCGATATGGCAAAAATGTGATCTTGATGAATTCTTTTTCATATTGAACAATGATGTATATTTCAATAGCAGTTGTTAATGCTTTTACATTTAAAAGAGTATCTCAAAAATGAATGAAGCCACAAAACTTAAAGGGTCTATTAAATAATGGAATCAGTGGGCGATCATTTTTGGCGGCTAAAAATTCGGTCCATCTCTAATATCAACACATGTCTAGATTCCCATTGTTGCACATTTCTGCTGTGTGGTTGGCTCTTGGATCAATATGGAGTAAAAAAGTCCAGAGCTTATCACTGTTATTGACATACATTTTATTGCGATTCGTTATAATATTGTTTATTGGCCCAACCCTATTTCCCGGTAACATTTGAGCGATGTCGAGCACATTCTTAAACATCTGCTATTGTGTTCAAATTTATCAGCAGAAATGACCGTGATTAGCTGTGAAGGTAATAGTTCACCGAACTCACCACTGTTTATTGAATGCAACCACAGAAAAAGGGATACTGGATCATTTTATTGCCATGATTCATCAGCGGATCGCTCATATGCCAGCTTGTAGACCAGGGGTGCCCAAACTCAGTCCTGGAGAGCTGATGTCCTGCAAATTTTAGTGCCAACCCCAATTAAACACACCTCAACCAGTTAATCTTTACAGGTATACTAGAAACTTCTAGGCAGGTGTGTTGAAGGAAGTTGGAGCTAAACTATGCAGGACACTGGCCCTCCAGGACAGTCTGTTATAGACAAACCAGCTGATCGACGTGACTTTGAAATGATCCAGTGCCCTTGTATCAGTGTTCACACTAAGTAAACAGCGATGAATTCGGTGAACTGATGACCTTTAGAGCCAATCACAGTCATTTCTGTTGAGCACACAAACACAATGGCAAATCAGCAGCGTTTAAGAACTAGCTCAAAAGTGCTCGAATGGTTGCAGGAGATGGACGTTTTTAATATATCAGTATTGTTTGGTATCAAATTCCAATATCGTCACCACCCTAATGTGCAGAAAAACAAAATCTGATCAATCTACTTTTTTAAAACCCGGGAAACTATTTAATATGTAAACCCACCAATAACATGGTCATAAATCTTTTCATAAGCCGTCATTTACTTTTTATAGTCTTGAATATGACAATCTAAAAACGATACGAATCAGAAAAAGTCGTCAAGCAAAGTTCATAAAGCAGAATCCATTCAGAAATGCTGCAGAGAAAATACAAGACAAAAACAATAAACAAGTTTAATCTCTTTTTATGACATCGCGTCTGCTTTTAAATATATTTATAAATGTACAAACATACAAAAAAAAAAGAGAGGATGTGGTACACTTAAAGACTCCTACATGACGTCCCTTGGAACCTAAACAATACAGTACAAAAAGACAGAAATGATGATAATGCAGGATGAACTCCAGCGCCGCAGTCCGTCAGGCTAATGCTAAAATAATCAGCTAATGTTTAACGCCGAAGGAAAATTTCGGCTGAATGTTTGGAAAGATCTTTCAAAATACCTGTGGGTCATCAATAAATCCATCCGAACTAATGACCAACACACTCATTAAATCACCTCAATCAAAGACAATTTGTTCAGAAAGTTTTTTGCATCTTAGATGGATCAACAGCATGGATATGCATTGGGATTCCCCCCATCCCGATCACTGATATGTGTGTGTATTTGGAAAGAACAAATATAGGTACTCACTGATTATTGGTCTGCTTGCTCGTGTCTTTTGTCTTCTGATCTTTCCTTTCCTCATCTGACTCTACATCTGTCTCATCAATACATTTCTCTTCCTCATCTTCCTTGCTAACACTTCCTCCCTCCCTTTGTGTTTCTCCTAAACTTGCAGTGACCTCAGTTTGGCTGACCTGCAGGCGATTCGTAGCCTGAAATAACACAGCCTGGTCCCGTTGAACCTGAATTACACTAACGCCCTGGTGGGACTGCAGTTCTGGCGAGGGCTGGCACAGATGTGAGGTGCTGAAGGATATGTGTGGTCTATCAGAGAAATGTCGGTCCCTTTTCAGGCGGTTATGCATGTAAACGCCCTCTGTCCTGCTCAACGGAGGTACAGAGGTTGAAAGGTCAACAGCAGGGGAATTAATCTGAGTTTTCGAGAGAGGCGAGGGACAAAGGGAAGTAATGACTTCCCTCAAAGGTATCCTTGGGGCTGATCTACTCTGGTGGCTGATGGGAATGTCATTACTGTTTCTTGAGGAAGATTCACTCATTCTGTTGTTAACAGGCCTCATCAGGAACAGGTTCTGGTGCTGGTGACCCAACGGCCGAGCAGTTTCTGAGTTCACACATGGTGGTGTGAAGGAATTAGGTTTGATGACATGACCTGTCGGAGTGTCCTTGCCTGTCTGGCAGCTGCCATTCGTTGGATCTCTTGGAGCAGAGTTCTCAGGTTTTTGACTTTCAGTCCTCCTGAATCCCATTATGCAAGAGCTGCCTGGTGTCAGGACTGGTCCCTTGTTGAGTTCTGCAGGTGTTTCTGTAGATTTTGTGGACGTACCTGTGAGTTCAGTCTTCCAGAGTCTCCCGGAGGTTGATGTCGCAGCAGATACTGGAGTTTCAGTTTGAGTCTTTTGAAGATCTGGATTTTCCTCAGTCTCTGCAGATGAGGAGTTGATGCCCTTCTCCTCACTTTTAATGTTTGTGGTTACAGGTGCGGACACCTTAGCTCTTTCAGCTAGAAATCTCCTGATCTCTCGCTCAATGCTGTCATCGCTGTCCACATCACTGTCGTCATCTGCATGCAGACTTGGTGAAAGTGTGTCTCCACCTGGGGCTGAGGAAATCCCTCCATTCCCGGTCACCTTGTCAGTCTGCGCAAAGCTTTTAGAAGGCTTGAAGTTTTGAACCTCACATTTGCCTTTAGCTGGTTTGCTTTTAGGCACCTTGTCATTTTTAGCCTGAATGTTCAGGGATTCTTTCCCACCTTTCAAGATGCTAGATTTAACAAGCCTGTTGAGTGGGATACACTTCTGCTCGGTTAAAGGCTTCTGCTTTTTTATGGCATCCAAAGATGACGCCTCAAAAGGTTTGTCACTTTTTCTCGCCTTCAAGTCCCTTACCTTCTTCTTGACTTTTTTCTTCGTCTTGAGTAGGTCTTTAATTGCTGCATCTAAATCCTCGTCACTGTCCAAGGAGCTGCTTTTGTCACTGCTGTCGTTTCTCTCAGAGCCGATCGCAGCCTTTGGGCTGGATGCACTACAAGAGGAAACGTTGTCTTTAGTTACATGATCTGCACCCTTGCGAGGAGGAGAGTTCTGTTTCAGTTTGCTATTTTTCACACTACTTGAATGTGAAATCGCAGTGGGAGTGGTAGAAAGTTCAAGTCTGGTGGAGTCACTGTGGATCAGAGGTGTCCCAGGAGGCTCCTCTTTAACATTCAAAACCATGTCTTGATCTCTGGAAAGTTTGCATTGTTCCTCTTTGAACTTGCGCTTTTTTGACAAGGAGAGTCGGACTCCTTTATTCGGTTGGATTTCTTTCAGCTTCTTCTTTGGCTCTTTACTCGATGAGGGATCTTCTGAAGCTGGTGGAGGTGCGCCTGCTGTTGCTGGAAGCTCTTTGTTCATCATTGCTTTATGCTCCAAAAATTTCCTTATCTCTTGTTCAATGCCGTCCTCACTGTCAATGGAGCTCTCATCGCTTTTATCTTCAGGAGGTGCAACAGGGGTGATCGCTGGCATCGGAAGCAAATTTCTATTAGCAATGCTTAAGCTGGACTCAAACACTTCAGGCATGACAGTTTTGGAGATGTCCAGAATGGCCTCTGCGCACATTAGTTCAGCAGTGTTGACCTTCAGACTGGAGTGGATCTGATGTTCTGTCTGGGCTTGTTTTGGGTTTATTGGGGAAGCTGTAAAGGTTTTTGCTTTAGCGGGCTGTGATGTACACTTGTTCAGAAAGTGGCTTACGGACAGTGGTGTTGGGAGATTAGTTGACTTATTGGTTGACAATTTCTTTATGTTGTTCTTCTTAGACAGCACTTTGAGTGGTTGGGTGCTTATGCGTTCTGGAGAAGCAACGGCTGGTTTGCTACGATGTGCAGGCACAAGTTGGGCAGGTTTGAGAAGACTTTTATTTTTCTTCTGCTTGTGTTTTTCCTCCTTGAAGCGACGGATGGCTTCCTCGATACCTTCATCGCTGCTTGAATCAGAGTCCTTAATTTTTTGTGGAGATCTCTGTGCATCTCTATCACCTTCCTGCTTTTCTTTTTTCTCCTGCTGAAATCTCTGAATCTCTTCTTCAATTCCATCATCGCTGCTTGAATCGAGCCATTCCTCTTCCTCTTTAATGACCAGACGCGGTGGAGACTTGTCCATCTCAGAAGACGAGGAGGATCCTTTTTTAGCTCTGGGTGGAGGAAGACTTTTTAAAGGCGAAACTTTACTCGCGTCTGCTTTCTTAAAGGGATTTTCTTTGCTCAGCTGCTTCTTTTTGACTTTCTTTTTTAAGGCCACCATCCCGCTTGAGAGTCTCTGGATATGATTGCTAGCAGTCAGCACCTTAGCACTGCTGGAATGTGTCTGTTGTTTCGGAGCATCTAGTTCCCTTCGCTGAAGTTTGGGCGCTGGGGGTGAACTTGTCACTGGATCCCCTTTGCGCTTGTGGTCCACCTTCTCCTTTAAATACTCCTGTATGGCCTCCTCAATGCCTCTGTCCACAGAGTCATCACTATCTGAATCATCTCCAGTATCAGACCTGTTGTTCTGCAGCTTAGCGTCTGACCCTGATCGCCGGGTTCTCGCCGACATGTCCATGAGTCGCATCTGACCCTTGTAGCCAGCCTCGTGACTGGAATGAGCAGCCTTTTCAGCCTGCTCGTTTTCACTCATGCCCGAAGACTGGGTACTGTGAAGGCTCTCAATTATCATCTGGATCTTCTGTGGGAACGGGGTGCCACTAACTGAGGCAAGGTCGCTGTCGGAGGCACTGTCATTGAAATAGAGAGGCAGGCTGCAGCTCTTACTGGACCTCCATTCTGAATGAATAGCCACAGCCGGAGGAACTGTCTTCAGGAACATTCTAGATAGTCAGAATGGAAGGGATGCAGGTGCATGGGGAAGCTCCACCAGTGATCTTGTTTACATCCTGAAAGAAAGAAGCAGAAATCTTCATTTAAAACATGTAATTGTAAAAACATTCCTTCAGTTGTGATGTTTTTTCTTTTGCAGCGGGTTATAAATGCATCAAAATGTTTTTGAGCAAACTTTTCTGTAATCTTAGTAGTGCTGATTTAATACATGTTGGAGACATACCCCTTATATCCATGCACACTAAATCGCCCTTCAGCCGCATTTATTTGAGAGCGCACAAGAAAATCTGCGCTTGAGCAGCGTATATTTGAGGGCATACAACATGCAGTTTTGTGCACAAACAGAGGTAATCGGCACGCAAGCAAAGAGATTCACATGCTCGTGCTACTTGAATGCGACTCTCGACTTGAATACGCTATATGATTTTTAGGAGCATTATAGTTTGTCAAACTTATTTGGAGTAGGCCTGTCACAATATAAATTTTGTCGTATGATATATTGCACAAAAATATATTATGATAACAGACATTAATGTCATTTTAAGACCATTTAATGTCAGTAGACAATATAATATCATCAAAATGCACATAAACACATAATATTCAATTTAATTATAGTTATTTGAACAATTTAATAATTAGACATTGGAATCAGAATGTGAAAACATATCCTAAATAAATGATAATAAATTTTAAAAAAGTGCTAAATGAAAAGTAAAAGAGGCTGCGATATCAGCTACCAGATCTATTTTCAGTTGTCAGACACCCACATGAAAATATACTATAGTAATTTATAGTAAATACTATAGTGTTTTTTTAACCATACCGACACCTACAATAGAGATAGAGATTTTGTGTAACCAACTTAGATAATTCTAGAATTTGTTTCATTGGTGATATATATATATATATATATATATATATATATATATATATATATATATATATATATATATTGCATCATAAAAAACGATTAAGGTCATGTCGACGTAATGTGAGATAAGTCGATATCTTGATTATCGTGACAGGCCCAATATAGGGTTTTAAAAACAAATTTCAGTTTTTTCCATTTTGAATTAAAAGGCTGAAGTTGGGGAATATGGTTTGAATAGGATTAACTGGGGATGTATGAAATCATGCTAAATACGTTTCTGAATATGAATCTAAATTAATCTACAAAACTTGAAAATTATGTTTACATATATAGATGAAGTCAGTGTTATAAGCCCCCCTTTAAATTTGTTTTTCTTTTTAAAAACATTTCCCAAATTATATTTAAGAGCAAGGAAATTTCCACAGTATGTCTGATAATATTTTTTTCTTCTGGAGAAAGTCTTATACGTTTTATTTCAGCTAGAATAAAAATAGTTTTTATTATTTTAAAACCCATTTTAAGGTCAATATTATTAGCCCCTTTAAGCTATATATTTTTATTGTCTACAGAACAAACCATCATTATACAATAACTTGCCTAATTACCCTAACCTGCCTAATTAATCTAATTAAGCCTTTAAATGTCCCTTTAAGCTGTATAGAAGTGTCTTGAAAAAGATTTAGTAAAATATTATTTACTGTCATCATGACAAAGATAAAATAAATCAGTTATTAGAGAAAAGTTATTAAAACTTTTGTTTAGAAATGTGTTAAAGAAATCTGCTCTCCTTTAAACAGAAATCAAGGACAAAAATAAACAGGAGGGCTAATAATTCTGAGTTCAACTGTATCTTTATTATAACTTATATATTATATTTTATTTCCCAGGGATGGGTTGCGGCTGGAAGGGCATCCGCTGCGTAAAAACTTGCTGGATAAGTTGGCGGTTAATTCCGCTGTGGCGACCCCGGATTAATAAAGGAACTAGGCCGACAAGAAAATGAATATATAATATTATAATGTTACAACAGTACGCCCCGCTTCCACATAAAGCTACAACTCAAACAAATAGTGTTATAATAATTTACACAATTTAGTTTGAGGTTTGTTATTTAAATGTGTGAATTATATTTTAAAAAAGTGATTCACATTAGATCAAATAGATGTACGCTAGGCATGAGCCGGTATAAAATTCGGACAGTATGATAACCTTAGATAAAATTATCAAAGTATCACTGAATTGTGATTACTGCTCTAAAATATGCTCTTTTTAAATGTCTGGGTAAAAAACAGAAACTTTTCCCTTTTAAACACAATATATTTTATTTTGAGAAACTTTTACATTTTTTGGAGCAGTAAACATGCAGGCTAAATAATTTAAATGAATTATTGACTTCTGCTGCCTCATTAGTTTCAAAAACACAGATTTCATTACAATTTAAAGCGGCATCTTTGGATATCTTTTTTGCTGGAGATACTGTTGTCCTAAAAATCTTTAAAACAAACAAACAAGAAGCTTACATATACTGTAGGAACACTACAGCAAAAAAAATATAGCCAGTTTAAAACCTTGACTTTTCCAAACCGCCATACACCTTGAAAACAGCTACCATCCTATGCCTATTGCATGCAATTAAAGGCAGTCCTGTCACAAAAAAGCATAGCCTTTTACAAAATTATAGATGGGTTGTTCAACCTCCAGGGCGAATAAGTAGGCCCACAACTCAAATATGGTGAACAACATGACAGGTAACAGTAGAGAAATAAAATGTTCTAAATGCAACTAATCTTATATTCCTGTATTGTATTTTTAATCACACAATTGATTACTTGGTTGAATGGCTATTAATATGAATGCTAACCTTTAATATAGTGTGTGGGCAGGGGTAACTTTGTTGCTAGGTTTGTGACTGCAGCCTATCTAGTGCAGTATGAGTGCGCTTATGAACTGATTATTTTAGAGAATCAACACTTATGCATCAGATAGAATGCTTACCAAATCAATCTGAATCACTGAACTGTAAATTATTAATTTTATTACTATACGCAAAGGTCTGTCGGTGTTTTGTTTCCTTTTAGTGTATTTGGTGGCTAGCTGTTCACTTGACAACGTGTACAAAATAAAATGTATTCATAAATCAACTAATTAAATTATACACGTTCAATATTTTTACGTAATAGTTAAAAAAAGTCAAATTATCGTAATTATTGCATTTACACGGCCCTGTTTGTAGTGTGTGACATTTTAAAAATCATCATCTCTTCACATGGTAACCGATGAGGGAAATGCATACGATAATACTCCACTTATCTCTCTCAGCTAAAATTCTATAACAATCACTCACGTGTAAATATTAATAAACCAAAATCGCAATCATAACGGCTGCAGTAGGTTACGTTAATTAAGACTCCAAATCCTAATTTCTACGTGTGCACGGCTAGGCTACATGCATCAACGCTGGAGCGGTGCAGCAGCAGAGGCCCCTCCGCTGCCTTCACCCCCTTCATCCCTTCAGACAATAAACTCCCGTAAGTTGTTACAAAATATCTCCTTGCAGAATGAACCCACAATGAAACTCCCACCAAATGGAGACATTGCATCTTCTTTACAATTCAATTGCTGAAAGTTAGTGTTTCTCCAGCTTGTGAGAGCCGCCGACAGAGCTCCGTCTCACCGGGCTGTCCCTACACGCTGCTCGCGGCTCTGCCTGCACCCGCGACCGGGGCGCGGAGCTAAGAGACACCGTAGAGGAAACCAGCGTCTCCCGCCGGCCGGCCACGGTGTCTCTGGCCGTGTTTACACCAGTCTGCTGTCCAAAAAGATATGTTAAAGGGAACTTCAGTGGTCTTGTTTACATTTACGAAAGCAGACCCCCTAAAATGCATCACAGAAAGGGAAGGAGGAAAGCTAAAGTTCGCCTCGAGACGAACATCTAGGGCTCGCGGGGCCTCGCCACTTCTCGCCGGTTATTCCGCAAAACCTTCTTTGTATTGTGTGTGTTTACCGAAAAAAATAGCTAATGCTCACAGAAGTAACTGCCCTATGCATGCACGCCGCGGGAAACATGATGAGACTCACCTTACGACAGATGAACAGCTGTTGCGTTTAATTTCCAGCGTAAGAGATTCGGCTTTTGTGATTCTTAGCACATTTTTGGAGAGTCCACACACGGGAGTGGACGGACGGGCGCGCGCACCCCTTCTGCCTTCCGACTCTTACCTCCAGAAATCACTTAAAGACACAGTACTGCGGAGCACACTGGATTTGGGATGGAGAGTTAATGATGGAGTCAGAGATGGTGTGTATTGTCATTATACATGGGATTACAAAACTACACCGTAAAAATACTTAAACAAAAATTGAGGCAACTATTTGCATCGGCCTTTTGACTATTTCAAACTCGTTTTATTTTAGTTTGTCCCAGAGGCGATTTTAGGATTTTCATTTTAGGGGGGCTTAGCTTTTAATAAGGTTAACAAAAAAATTATAATAATTAAGAAAAATTCTAAAAAAAAAAAAAAAAATACACACACACACACACACACACACACACACACACACACACACACACACACAACAGCTCTGTCTGGTTCTCGAATCT